TTTGGTATTTTCATGCAAATTCTTCTGCTAGTTGGGATTTAGTCCACTTCTATATCCTTCCCTTCAAGGCTCAGGGGTCCAGGATTATCTTCTGTGTTAATTGGTTTCCTTTTTCTTTGTTGAAGAGGGTCTGTGCAGTCTTTCTGCCTAATCCGCCATCTTATCAGAACCTTTAATGCATCCCTTCCTCTAATCTTGATGTCACATTCTTCTTCATACAGTCCAGCTTCTTGGATTATTTCCTCAGCATACAGATTGAATAAGTATGGTGAAAGGATACAACCCTGACACACACCTTTCCTGATTCTAAACCATGCAGTATTTCCTTGTTCTGTTGGAATAATAGCTCCTGGTCTATGTATAGGTTCCTCGTGAGCACAATTAAGTGTTCTGCAATTACCATTCTTAAAAATGTTATCCATAATTTGTTTTGCTCTATGCAGTCAAATGTCTTTACACAATCAGTAAAACAGGAAAGCATCTTTCTGGTGTTCTCTGCTTCTAGCCAAGAGCCATCTAACATCAGCAATGATATCCCTCATTCTGCATTTTCTTCTGAATCCAGCTTGAATTTCTGGCAGTTCCCTGTTGATGTATTGCTAAAACCATTTTTAAATTACCTTCAGCAAACTTTCACTTGTGTGAGATATGGATGATAATATTCAATAATTTCCACATTCTGTTGGATCACTTTTCCAACAAATACAAATATGGATCTTTCCAGTTGGTTGGCAGGTAGCTGTCTTCTAAATTTCTTGACATATATAAATGAGCACTTCCAGTGTCACATCCTTTCATTCCGACATCTTGATTTGTTTCCTGTCATTTCCTGGAGACTTGTTATTCACCAATGGCTTCAGTGTAGTTTGGACTTCTTCCTTCGATATTTTCAGTTCTTGATCATATGATACCTCCTGAAATGGTTGAACATCAACCAATTCCTTTTGGAAATTATTCTGTGTGTCGTTTCCATCCTCATTTGATGATTCTGACATTGTTTAATATTTTTCCCATAGAATCCTTCAATATTGCAACTCAAAGCTTGTGTTTTTAATCCAGTTAGTTATTTCAGCTTGACAAGTGCCAAACATGTTCTTATGTTTTGGTTTTCTAACTCTTGGTCTTTGCACATTTCTTTATAATACTTTACTTTTGCTTCTTGAGCCACCCCTTGAAATCTTCTGTTCAGCTCTTTTACTTCATCACTTTTTAGTTTTATTTAGCTACTACACATCAAGAGCGAGTTTCAGAGTATCTTCTACACTGATGTCAATAACTGTGCATATAATGTAAAGAACTGAATTGTGACATGACTTCCTTAGTTATACTATTATTAGAAAGTTTTGAAAGAATCCAAATAAGGTAATGGACAATGAAATGATTTCTTCATTTGAAAAAAAAAAGTTTTACAACTTTATTAATTTTGTTCTAGAGCAAAAGAACAAGTATATCAGGGCTGAAAAGAGATACCTCCCTCCCAGCCCCAATTAACTGTTTCTGAATTTGATTGACAATTCCTTTAGGACCATTATTCAATATCATCCTGGGATGCAAAGATTTAAAAGGTATCTGTGCTAATCCAGAGAACAGTACTTGAGAGGAAGCTGTAGATTATTGATTTAAGAAATTTTAAATTATTGAACTTTATGTAATACACTCATAATTTTGCTTTATTTAATGTATATGTTATTAACAATTTTAGTTAAAGTTAGATTTTGGCAAGAATCACCAATTTTAGCTTTATGCAGTGTTTAAATGAAAATAAATAAATGATGAAAGAGTAAAATAATTTTATCTGGAAACCTTTTCAGTCAACTCAGCTTATATGCATTTTACAGTTCCTTTCTCAAAGGCTGGATTTCTGTCAAATCTCAAACTACAAACAACATAACCTGTTAGATTTAAGTATAGCTTTGGACAAGTATCTTTTAACTTTCTTTGATGTTTTATTGAGGAAACTCGAACGCTGGTTTTGGGT